ATTTTGCAAATAATTATATACACTTTCATAGTAATCATAAAAGCAAAGGGGAAGGTAAAATATTGTAGATTTATGTGGGAACCTCTGCAAAGTGTACGTTTAACTTTGCCATCATAGTAAAAATTTTAGGTTATGTTACATACATGTAGTAGAGTAGGTCAGTTTTATTCCTGCAAATCTATTTTTGATAGTATAAGAATCTGAAGTGGTTAATTTGGGGTTTAAAATTCTATAAATGAGAGTAAATATAATTTTACCTCATCAAAAATAGTTATAAAATACTTTAAATGCCTTAAATTTTTTTGTTTGCATTTTTAAGTGAGATAATCTTTTATTATTGAGGGCCTATTCTATGTCCAGTATTTCACTATAGTCTAAAAAAAGTGGTCTCTGTTGGCAAAGAACTTTTAGCCTCGAAGGAAATTGTTACTTGAAATATCAGATACTCCACACAACTAGAGGATAGTGGACTATGAAGTCTGTCTTACTGACTTGAAGTGCAGCAGAAGCTCGAGGAATGAGGACTCAGACTCATAAGAGAAGACTTAGAGAAGGTGGAAGAATGGATTACAGACCCATCAGTATGGCTCAGTTGGTTAGAGCATCTTCTTGTGCATTAAATGGTCTGGGATTTGATCCCTACCTAGTTAGGGAGTATACTGGAGGCAACTGAATGATGTTTCTCTCACATCAATATTTCTCCCTCTCCCTCTCTCTTCCCTTCTCCCTCTCCCTTCCCCTCTTCCTCTCTCTCTCCCTCCCTCTTTCTTTCCTTCTGTTCCTTTCTCTCCCTCTCTTCCTTTCTCCCTCTCTCTTCCTCTCTACAATCAGTGGGAAAACAACACACCATATCGTCAGTGAAGATTTTAAAGAAATATTGGCTTAAATTAGACAATTCTATCATGAACATTAGAGGATCTATGCCTTTTAACTAAGCAAATCAAGTGGGAAGTATTGAAAAGTTGCAGAGAAAAATTCTATCAGGATACTTTTTGCCCTGGTAAGATTGACCTTTATCACTATGGGAATGATTGTGAATTAATGCCAAAGTATTTTTAAGCTAAATAGAAACATTCCTTTTCCAAACTTATAATTTGCATTCAAGCCTTAGCTCAAGTTATCTATTCCTACAATGTCCTTTCCCTCATCTTCAATGGTCTAAATCTTAGGTTATTTACTCTCTGCATTAAATTTTCCTAGTTCATTTTCCTCTTCAACCACAAAAACCATTTTTCTTTTGTGCTTCTATACCTAACTTAGAACAATGAATATATCCTGCCTTATAAGCAGGGACTATCGTTTTTTATTATGTAATCTGCCAGCCTATCAGCAGGTGTTTGATAAATTGCAATTGAGTGCTGAAAATCAGTAGAAATGGCTTTATGATAAAATTAATATATCCTGAAGAGTACTGGCTAGATAAATGTAATGCTTATTTCTTAGTAGTTTAGGAGTTCTCTGGCTTTTACCATGTATCAAAGTTCTTATCATTCTATACTATGCATTTACGTCCGTACCTCAAGTTTTAGCTACCTTACAGTATCCTTTAAAAATTTTTAAAGTTAGAAAGCTATGGATGGTATAAATAGTTGGAAGACTGGTGACATTTTAATACTTCTTTTTGAGGGTTGTTAGTAATCTAGCATCACCTAAAGCTTTCTGAATATAGTTTTTCTGTTGGCCTTTATTTGTGTGTCTGAGGAGATTGACTATAGTAGAAAGAAAGTCCTTACATTAAAAAACACTTTTCAAAAGTAACATTACCATAATAATAATAAAAAAACATGTATTGACTATCAGCTGCAGTTCTTAAAAACATATATATTTTAACTTCAGAGGGGAAGAGAAGAGAGATAGAAACGTTGATGAGAATCATCAATCTGCAGGCCCCTTACTGGGGATAGAGCCTGCAACCTTAGCATGTGCCCTGACCAGGAATAGAATTATGACCTCTTGGTTCATAGGTCGAAGCTCAACCACTGAGCCACAATGGCCAGGCTTGGCTGCAGTACTTTAAAGTGAGTCTCTAAAGAAAACAGTATGCTTCTGACTTCTTCTTACTGGAGCTATCTTATTGAGTAGAATAGCTTTTCTTAGAAACTTTGGATAATTTTATTAGAGACTAAATCACACTCAAGAAAAAGTTTAAGAAATCGAAGAAGGCAAAGAAAATTGTGGATCAAATATGCAGCAGTTGCTTTCATTATTATCATAATGTGATAAAAAAAAAAAATTAGGTGCCCTAAGCTTTTATGTAAAATCTATAGGACATGTCTATTTTTCCAGAATCTAGGTATAAAGTATACTTCACTTTTAGTCAAAAGTCAGGAATTTAACCAACAATTAAATTATGATTCCTATGGCAAAGCAGTTTCCCCATGTATTGATTTACTTTATAACCTGTTTTCTAGGCATATATTTTTACACTATCCACTAAAACTGACTATACCATGAGTGCCTAAGGTACATGAAGAAAGGATTGAGATTGGAAGCTGTAGACATTGTCTGTTCTGAGTTCCTGACAACAGACCACTCTAGCAAAGGGCAATAAATGCCACTGAGAATATCCTTCAGCACAAATCTGTAAGTAACTTTTGGGAATTATAGGGGGATTAGAAAATTGTCTCTGCTGACTCAACAAAAATGTCTTCATTTTGTAATTTGTGGCCTGTATGCTTGTAAATTAAGATACACTGAGTTGTCAAGTAGAGGACTGGATTGTGGGTGACAATTTAAGTCAAAATACAGTGCAAGAACTTGAAATGTGTGTCTTAAAACCTTAGACAAAAGGTTGCATGAATTAGGATAACTAGATTATTATTAAGTTATTGGACCTTTGCCTGGAAAACCAATTAGAGAATTTTAGTCTTGATATGGCATGAAGTTAGCATAGCCCAGCATCTTGAAATAACAGTGGAAGTTGACAAAGTAATGGAATTTTTGGAAATCAAATGTGGCAGTACTATATATAGAAGAATTCTAAGAAATAAAGTCTAGTGGTAAGGAAACTGGGCATGTGACTATTGTAGTAATCTAGGAGTGAAGAAATCCTGGACAGAATAATGGCAATGAGAATGGAGATGAAAGAATAAAAGATATTTCAAAAGGAAAAAGTATAGAACATCACAATGAGTTGGATAAAAGAGTGGTGTCAAAAAATACATGTTCTGTACTAGAAATCATGGTATTATTGAAAGTGGACAGTTGAGAAGCTGGTTTGAGAAGATGCCGAGTCCCGTTTTTGTCATACTGAATTTAAGACTATATGTATTAATAGGAATTTCACTTGAAATGCTTTGATTAAAGGTTGTGAATATATAGAACTAGAATTCTATGTAAAAGTCATTCTGGAGAGGTAAATCTGTCAGTATCCACATAAAGCTGATAAGCTATATGAAGCTCTTTGTTATGGACAATAGATCCCTTTCTTTAAAAGAAATATGTAGACTTGCCGGTTTGGCTCAGTAGATAGAGCATTGGCCTGCAGATTGAAGGGTCCCAGATTCAGATCCAGTCAAGGGCACATGCCCGGGTTGCAGGCTTGATCCCAGTAGTAGGTGTGCAGGAAGCACCTAATCAGTGATTCTCTCTCATCATTGATGTTTCTATCTCTCCCCCTCACTTTCTCTCTAATATCAATAAAAATATATTTTTAAAAAATAATAAATTAAACATGTAAACACATGTTTATGTAAATAAATTATTTGACTAAGTATGTAATCTTAAACATTTTCAAAATTGAATTAAAATTTTTAATTTTTTTCTTGGAGTGTCATATCTCAAGCTTATTATTCGTGTAAGAAAATCAGTTATATGAGGGATGATGACTAAAATGTGTTCATATTCTTGAACTTTAACTTATTCTTCCATTAATAAAACAAAGATCTTTCCCAGTGTTAGATTGAAGGAGTGAAATTGAGAATTTAAAATCCAAATAATTCAATCAATTAAAACTGTAAAACTGACATGGCTTTAATTTAGTAAATGAAAAGGCAAATAATTGAATTGTGGGAAATGTGCTGCTCTCTAGTTTCAAGAAACAGTACAGCGCAAAGAACTGGCCTTTTGCTGAAGAACTGTAATAATAAACAAATTTGAAAACCAGGAAGACAAGTTTTTCAAGAGTACAACTATAGCATTTCAAAGGTGGTAAAACAAGAAATTCCAGAGTTGGCAAAAAATGGTTTAGATCCCTTATTTGAATATTTGTTTTTGATGGAGAAACATGTTATGAGGAAATGAAGGTTCTAAGAGATTTGGAACTTTTTCTCTTTACTCTAAATTGGGCTTACTACTGAAGAAAAGGGTTAGTTAAAAATAATCAAATAGGAACTCAGTACTGCTTAAATTGTAGGCAGGTGTTTAAAAAGTTACCAAAGGGAGCCCTAACTGGTTTGGCTCGGTGGATAGAGCGTAGGCCTGCAGACTGAAGGATCCCAGGTTCAATTCTGGTCAAGGGCATGTACCTTGGTTGTGGGCACATCCCCAGTAAGGGGTGTGCAGGAGGCAGGTGATCGATGTTTCTAACTCTCTATCCCTCTCCCTTCATCTCTATAAAAAAATGAATAAATTTTTTTTTTAAAGTTACCAAAGGGAACACACTTTTAAAAATTGTTTAATTAATTGAAAGCAAATATTTTGGTTTTCTAGAAGCTAAACATTGTTTTGTAGGATTCCTATTTACCTAACTATTACCTATATATAAAGTAGTCACATGTCATTAGACAGAAATACCATTTCATTCTACATCTGTAGTTGATTTTGTGTGTTCTATTTTAATGAAATATAAGGAAACCTAAAATGTTCATCTGTGCTTCCAAACAACCTTTTAAAAACTCAATAATGTGTCTTCTGGGCATATACTAGGATCTTTAGACTAATTCACTTTTATTTTGAACCATTTGATTAATTCAAGTTCAGTGAACTTCCAGTTGGGTTATCCAGAAATGGGAACTTTTTCCCCCCTGTATTATCATCCTACTTTCATCTAATTTACATGTCTGATCTACTCACTTCTTTTCATGACTAAATTATGGAGGTAAGTAAAGATTTAATATTGATCATAGTCATGTGACCTTTATTCTGAATTTATATTCTTTTATTGTTTTTTTAATTACTAAACATTCTTGTAGCATTGTATTTTTATTAGCAAGTTATATATATTTCAGTTTTAGGTGGGCTGTTTTACTGATTACATGTATACTTTTGTGTAACTTTCAACTAGTTAGTATTTCTATCTATATTTTCATCTCATTTTGTTATCACCCAAGAAAACATCTAATAGAAAAATGCTATGGGTGTTGTTTTTTTCTGTAGTCTTTACTTGAATCAAGTCTTTCAGACTTCTTACATAAAGTATACTCATCCATCTTTGAATCTACTCTAATTCTTGTTTTTCCAAGTGCCTGTTCACTGATAATGTAACATTCCACATTTTCCTCTTCAGTTCAGTTTGGACTGTGGGGGAAATAAAGCATAGTCCCAGCCCTCCTCTTAAAAGAATTTGTGGAACCTCAGACATTGCAGCCAGAATTTCTCAGGGTCTCTTTTTACAAGAAGGGTAAGACAAACTATCCTGTTTGGCTTCCATCTTGGGAACCCAAAGACATTCAAATTTTTACCAGAGTGTGAAAAGGGGGAATAACATGAAATAGAAACACTGGATATTTGGTATGTTTAACTCAACTGATAGAGGAAAAAGTCTCTTTAAAGTAATGTTTTCTGGTTTTGAGGTACTGATATGAAAATCTGCAGGTGCAGAATGCTGCCTACCTAAAAGCTCTCTCTGGTTACACAAGTCTTAGGCACATTTTAGTTTTGGGAGCATAATCTTATTTATTTTGCTGCCTATTACTGACTTTTTTGTTCTATGCCATGCTTACTACTCATTTTCCATTTAAAGATGTGTGGTTAGATCTATCTCATAGTTGAGATAAATATTAAGGCATTTTCTAAGCTTAATAATTATGAGATGCAGAGTTTTTTTTGAAAAATTGGAAAAGAACTTTTCTTCTCTAGTAGGTCCACTAGAAGGCCAAATAATTCTTTAGGTGTAGTTCTGTGACAAAGCTTAGTTAAAATTCTAGACAGAATTACTTTTTTTCCATTTTTTTTATTAAGGTATTATATTTGTATATATCTTACCATTCCCTCCACCCCAATCCCATATATGCCCTCACCCCCCCCCCCCCCCAAGTTTTGCGTCCATTGGTTATGCTTATATGCATGCATACAAGTCCTTCGGTTGACCTCTTACGTTTTGTTTTAAAACATTAAGTTTGATGTCACATTATTCTCTTTGATGGCTTCTTTGGCTCCAGGAAGATAGTAAATATTCCTAAATTTCTAAAAAATATTTTCCTTAGTGGCTCTATATTGCTAAACTTGCTGTTACAGAATCAACTTCCCCCAACACAGAGGAAAAAATAACAGTAACATATAGGAGATTTAGAGGACTCTTAAGAAGTCTTTTATTATCCCTCAGCAAAGTGTCTGGTTATGTGACCATTTCTATTATCAATGCAAAAGCTTACAAAGTGAAGCTGAAGTTTGTCAGATGAAAACAGTATACAAGACAAGTTAGAAACAGCAATTATTTTCTAAACCATATATTTCTCAAGTTGCTTTCCCTTGACCATTTTATATTATTTTGGGCTCCTGATTTTAGATATATTTTCAAAGCAGCTCAAATTAATTCTGAACTCTTTCTAATTATGACATACATTAAATCCAAGAGTAAAATTCAACACTAGAACTTCTTTTCAGAAAATCTTTGTAGGGAGAACTTCCCGTTGCTTATATGGTAAATTAAAAAGATCCGAGAATAAGCTAAAATATTTGTGCCTTATCAGAAATGAAACTGGGTGGTGGAAAAAAGCTGAAACAAAAGAGAAGTGGGATGCCAAGACCGGTTTGTCTCAGTGGATAGAGCATCGGCCTGCGGACTGAAAGGTCCCGGGTTCAATTCCGGTCAAGGGCATGTACCTTGGTTGCGGGCACATCCCCAGTAGGGGGTGTGCAAGAGGCAGCTGATCGATGATTCTCTCTCATCAATGTTTCTCTCTATCTCTCTCTCTTCCTCTCTATAAAAAAAATCAATAAAATATATCTTTAAAAAAAGAGAGAAGTGGGATAATAAGGGAGGATAATACAGTCAAGACTGACAAACATTAACATCTCATTGTGATGAGTCATACTTGTGTATATGAGATGGATTGATATGTGTATATATTTGATGAACAAAGTTTTCAGCATGGTTTGCCAAGAAAACCTTCTGCCATTATTTTCTTATAATTGAAAATAAAATTAACAAATAATTTCATTCAAGAAGTTAAGAGTTAAGTCGTGTTCATATGAAAATATTAGTCTTTTTTTTTCCTAAGGCAAGCAAGTTTTTTATTTGCCTGTGGTGCATCTAAACATATCACTGTTTCCTTCTAACTGCATTTGCCTATCTCCCTTTCTTAAAAAAGACTCAATTTTTTGAATGTCTTCATATCCCAATTGCAGAATCCCACTCTATTTTGGAGTGAACACCAGAGTGTACTGAAGTGATCTTGACAGATGTGTCTCCAGATGAAATATCTCTAAAATATTTACTAAAATAAGAAATTCAGTCCACTCTAGAAGTCACTTCTCTATAATGAACATTTTTTTTAACTGTGGCAGTCTGTCTCCTAGAAATCTCTACATTGTGAACTCATGACTTTTAGACACCATTTAAGAAACAACAAGTTATTTTAATTTAAACACATTGTCAATGTTATGAGTTATATTTATAGTAAGCTCTAGAAGGGAAGGCATTGTTTTGTCCTTGCAGTATCTCCAGTGTTCAGAATAGTATTTGGCACATAGCAGATGCCAATAAATATTTATTGAGTGAATTAATAAATGTTTATGTATATTATATGTTTCCACAGGTAATATGTTTCTATTAGTGCATTAATAACATTTCTCATCAAACTAGTTTTCTGCAAATGTGAATGACTAAGAACACATTAATAGCAGTTTAAATATTTTTTGTTACAATATTTTTTGTTTCAGTATTTTAACCAGTTATCAGTTTTTAATAATCTTACTAGCAAAGCACTATAGAGAATTAAAGTGTTATATATACAGCCATACCAACTATACTTAACTAGTCAAATCACATACATGTCAAAAACTTAACAGAATAGAAATATTGTGCCCTATAATATGGTGCTGGCAAGGGAACCAGATCAAACACATCATCCTCACAACTAAAATGACATACTAAAACAACTAAGTTGGCTTTTCTGCAGAAAAGAGAATGACACCAAAATCAAAACACTTGGTTCATAAAGCTTTTTTCTTATTTGGGTCATTATTTTCAATTGCTAACCTTAACATTACTAGTCTTCAAGTATTTTGCACTTTTATATTATACATAATCTTTTCAGGTACTGTTAAGAAAATATTTTTAAAAATTATTTGTTGCCAAAACTGGTTTAGCTCAGTGGATAGACCATTGGCCTGCTGACTGAAAGGTCCCAGGTTCGATTCCGGTCAAGGGCATGTACCTTGGTTGCGGGCGCATCCCCGATGGGGAGTGTGCAGGAGGCAGCTGATCGATATTTCTAGCTTTCTATCCCATTCCCTTCCTCTCTGTAAAAAAAATCAATAAAAATAGAAATAAATATAAAATTTATTTCTTCCCTACAACATAGTACACATATCTGTAAGTAATTACTAAAAATGTCTGAAATACATTTTTTTTACTAAGTGGAGAAGTTTCACAGGAAGGGTGGTAGAGTAAAATTTGTGTCAGTGTGAGGTAATGGACCATAATATGCCATAATACTCCCCCTTACTCTGCATACTGTCTTTCAGGTATGGCTCTTCCTTTAAAAAAAAAAAAAAAATAGATAATACTTTTATATGGTCTGGTGAAAAATAAGCCTTTCTCCCATGCCTAAACCCCACTCACCCAGTTCCCTCTCCACAGATGACCTGGATCTTTGGTGACAATTTCATGGATATATAAGAAAATGAATATATATACTCAATATATATTCACAAGTGGAAACTATAAAGTAGAAATATATCTTTTCAACATTATACATATTTCTGTACCTTTTTTCACCTTATAAATATTTGACAATCCTTATCAGTTTATGAACTGTTGTCCTATTCTGAGAGTTGCATAGTATTTCATTGTATGAACCATAATTTACCCATATCCTATTAATGAACTTTGAGTGTATTTCTAATCTTTTGCTGTTATGATGATGTAAATTATCCGTTGAATGTGATGTCCTTGAGAATAAGAATTTCTTTCTTACTCATTTTTTTTTAATCCTGAAAGCTTATTATAGTGTCTAATAAATGTTTAACAGGTGTTTTTGAATGAGTTAATTGTACTTTTTAAAATGGTGCTCAACTGCTTCCACTCTGGTTTTTTAATCCTTTATACAAAGTACTTGGTGCTCTTTGACTTAATGATTCCTCTTCTAGATGTTCATCCTATTTAAAATGATACATATATAAGAATTCCTATAAGAATGACTAAGTCAAAGTATATGTGTATTTAAATGTTAGCAGAAGTTATTCAAAAAGGTTTTGATCAAATGTAGATGCTAATTAGTAACATATATTATTCCTCTCACTAAATATTTAGCACAGTACTTTACACTTAGTAATGTTAACACTGTTGAGTAGATGAAGTTCATATTCAAGTGAGAAAAATTTGTTTTTATAATGGCATATAAGTCCATACAAAGGAAAGGGAGCCATCTTCATCATCATCATCATCATCACTAATAGTTACTGAGTGCTTATCATATGCCAGGACATGTGTTGAGTATATTATCTTCTTTAATCCTCATATATCCTATAAAATATATATTTATTATCCTCATTTGATAGACGAAGTTGAGGCACAAATAAGTTAAATTACTTGCCCAAGCCATTAGCTAGTAAGTGATTAAGCTGGGATTAAAAATCAATCAGCATGATTCCAGAACCCAGTCTTGAAAGCTGTATAAATGTTCATGAAAAAGAGAAATGGAGAGGCACTGAAGGTAGAAGGAATATGTGGCAAAGCACCAAGTGCTCAGTGTTGTTCAAAAAGCAGCAAGCAGACAGAGTGGTTTAAGCACTGTTGAGGTGTGCTTGCCCAGATAGTATAGCAGGAGATAAGAAAATGACAATTTCCCTTTATTCTAAAAGAGAACAAAAAACTCATTTCTTTTTCTGAGATTGCGCTGGCATGATGGCAACCACTGGTTTCACAGTCTTGTTCATGGCGAGAGCTTCAGGTCTTTTTATCCTTTCAAAACTATAGCATTCAGTTTTGTCTTCAGATGATACCGTTCTATTACCGACCAGATGGAAGCCTTCCATTAATAAAGTGTCAATGAGTAAGCCGAGGACATTAGTTCCATTGGCCAATTTTCGATTATCAGGTTTTATAGAAATGTACCTAGAAAACACACAAAACAAAACAAACAAAAAACCCCCACACGTTTAATTATAAAGCATTTCTTTAAAACTAAACACATAAATTTTACTTACAACCACACATAAATGCATCATACCATTTTTATCAGATTTTGTTTTGACCTTCATTTATAAATCCACATCAGTAATTTCAGGGTACTGAAAGTAGATATCTTACTACGATTTCCAAAGTCATTTTAATTCTACACTTAGGAATGTAACCTGCACTGATGAATTTTCATTGAGAAACTATTTTCTGGAGCAAACAATTTGGTCAAACAATTACATTTACTAAACATTGTTTTAATTAAAATTAATTAATTGATTTAGTCATTATAATGAACATTTTATACATTTACAATCTTCCCCTTAGATTTAATTTACCAGCACTGATATTACACATTTTCAGTGCTGATATTACACATTTTCTTTTATGATTTATTCCTATCAAAAATATTTTCTCCAGGTAAATTTTATAGATATAAAATATCAAAAAGACTTTATTGTCAATTTTTACTCAATAACTATCTATTATAATATTGCAAAGCAAAACATGGGGTCAAAGCCTCTGGCTATTTCCTGGGAAACTTGATAGAATCAATCCAAATAATTATAGAAAAATGTATCTGAACTTTTCAGATTGGTTATATATTGGCTTTAATAATGTCAATATAACATATTCAATAGATATAGCTCTATTACTCTTTTATTTTAATGTTTTTGTTTCCTCCCACCATTTGTTTATGAGATGGGAAGAAGAGGCCAACTTAAATTATTTCTAGGCTGCAACCTAAACTATCTGTAGTTTTATGGGATAAAAAGAGCCTTGGGGACATCCCTAGCCTCCTTTTAATTATGATTGAAAGAGAGTGACTTATTGTAGTTCACATTTAGAAGCTCATTCTAGTCAAAGAAAGCAATTCAATAATAAAATGTAAGAATTATAAAACTACATAGTACAGCACATATAAAAAAGTTTATTGCCCTGGCCAGTATGGCTCAGGGATTAGAGTGTCAGGCCACGGACTGAAGGGGCACAGGTTCCATTCCTGGTCAATGGCATGTACCTGGGTTACAGGTTTGATCCCCGGCTCCCGTCCTGGTCAGAACCAGCCAATAGATGTTGGAAGCAGCCAATCAATGTGTCTCTTTCACATCATATATTTCACTCTCTCCCTCTCCCTCTCCCTTCCCTCCACTCTCTCTGAAAAAGCAATTTAAAAAATATCCTCAGGTGAGGATTTTTTTTTTTAATGTTTGTTATGCCTGGTATAGTAAATTTTTAACCTTAGTAAATCATTCCATCTACCCCCAAAGTCCCAGATCTTAATTATATAGCCTAGAAACACTGTTCAATGAGAAAAAATTATAGAGCATCTCACAAAATATACAAATAGTATATTGTAGGTTATAACAAAGTGGAATGCACTTGCAAGAAATCACTGAGCCAAAGTACTTAATTCCCTCTGAAGCCAAATTAAGAAATGTCAGATTTCACAGCACCAGAAAAGGATAGGAGAAACAGATGAAAAATAGAAAACAAAATGTATTTTAAAAACTTAAAAGGCAGTTACATTTTTCCATTTGACCCAGTTTAAAAAATAATAAAAGGCTACTGGGATTCTATGGTCTAGAATCCTGTGACCATAACTTAAGCTTGATAATGTTGTCACATTTGCAAGATGCAAGCCAAGTATTTCATTTCTAGTACTGTGAACTTGAGAGATAAATGAGAAACCTGTTAACAAAACTGAGAGTAGTAAATTACATTAGTTGAACATACCAAACAACTGAATGATATACCAGACTCCTAGAAGCCATTCAGGCTTATTCTCCTCCATTTTCCACCTTCAAAAAACAACTGAATGGCCGAAACCAGTTTGGCTCAGTGGTAAGTGTCGGTCTGAGGACTGAAGGGTCCCGGGTTTGATTCCGGTCAGGGGCATGTATGTTGGTTGCGGGCACATCCCCAGTGGGGCGTGTGCAGGACACAGCTGATTGATGGTTCTCTCTCATCGACGTTTCTAGCTCTCTATCTCTCTCCCTTCCTCTCTGTAAAAATCAATAATATATTAAAAACAAAACAAAACAAAAACTCTGAATGGACAGATTCAGACCAGGGAGTAAGCAAGAAATAAAAATGATTGCCAGCTAGACAGTCATTCTAAGGTAGACCTTTTAAGGCTGGAGGTTTCATCTAGTCGTCTGAAATTTCATCTGAAATTCTAATGTCACCTTATTCAGGTTATCTGTCTCTACTTTGGCACTATAATCCTATATAATAAGAGAGAAACATGGAAATTGACTATACCTCTATGACACCCACCAGCCCAATCAGGAGTGAGTATGCAAATTAATCCAACAAATATGGTGGGTTAATTTGTATACATAGGCGCCAGGCAGAGAGTGGAGCGGGAGAGCTGGTGGAGAGTTGAGCAGCTTGGGGAACTTGGCTCCCCAACCTGCCATACAGAGAGCGGAGAGGGAGAGCTGGCGGCTTGGAGGACTTGGCAGAATGGGAGGCCGTGGGACAGAGACAGAGTAAGAAGGGAAAACCAAGAGCGTGGGGAGCACCAGGAATTCTGGAAATAGTAGTTGTGGTGGCAGCCCAGGACCGGAAGTGGGAGCCCAGAGAGCGGGGAGCACCAGGAATGCTGGGAATCATAGTCCTGGTGGCAGATGGATCTCCTAGACCACATGTGTCAAACACAAGGCCCACGGGCCAAATCCGTCCCGCCAGGCCTTGCAATGTGGCCCGCACCGCGCTGTCATCACTGCACTCCGCTGCGTTTCCATCACAATGACAGTTTATGACTGTTCAGTAAACCATTTGGCCCGCGATTTAGGCTGGATTTTAGATTTTGGCCCCTTCTCTGATTGAGTTCGACACCCCTATCCTAGACGCTAGACAAAGTGAGTCTGGAGCAGTTACTGTTGCGGTGGGAGATGGAGGGAGAGCAGAGGTGAGAGATTAAGTAAAACATCAAACCAAACTGGGTTGGGGTCTCAGACAATTCGCTCATCTAATTGCAAAGACAGACTCCCAGATTGGAGAGGGCTCCAGATTGGAGAGAGTGCAGATTGGGCTAAGAGCCCCCCCCCGTGCACAAATCTTCATGCACTGGGCCCCTGGTATAAAAATAAAATCAAACACTTCTGGGATAGAAAAAATTCTGAACTTCAACTGAAAAGAGTACTATTTGAGGATAAAGAAAACCTTTCAACTTTTAAAACTTTTAAAACTAGCTTTTAGTTTGGGAATTACTTATTTTGGAAATTTAAATAATACCATTCTCACATTAAGATGAAAACATTTTGTAATATTTCTAAAACATGGACACTTTAATAACAAAGGGGAAACCACTTAATACTGTGTACATTCAAGGATATCCCAACCTGAGTTTCTAATCTTATTTTTCAAGATTACAATTATTTTCTTCAACTGCATAGTTTTTAAAGAGCATATAAGTATTTCCAGGATATCTTTTTTTACCTTGCATGTTTCTTCTAAAACCAATAATACCATTTTTTCTTAGGTTTCCTTATGATTTCTTTTTCAAAAAGGATCCTCAAAGATCTTAGTCACTCAAAATTAAAAAAAAAAAAAACTGGTCATTTCCTATTTATGTTAGTGCCCCACCAATGAAAAGAATGTTGTGCATAGAGGTATCTTAAAACCATTTGAGATGAGAGGGTCTTACTTTTCTTTACAATCAGCCTATTACTTTAACTGGCTCTCTTCTCCCAAAATGACATTTCAACCTCTTTGCAAGGGCAGGGATTATGAAGTATAAAAAGTTAAGCATTATACTGCTCAATGTTCTCCAGTTGCAAGACTGAGGGATGGCTTGTAGATGGGCAAACATTGATAGTTCCTGATAGCTTCTACTGAAGAAAATATCCCCAAATATGCCTATCATTATGTCCAAAAAAAGTTAAATACTACAAGTAAAAAAACATATGCAGACTTTTTCTTCCTCCTAAAAATCGAAGCCAATTTTCACAGCTAGTAAAATAATGGTGGGACAATATTAAGAAAATTTTAAGGGGAAAAAAGATACTGATTTCCAGCAGAGTGGAAATTAGCCAAAGGGTCTAGTCAAGAACAGTAAGGGGATAAAGTAATTGACTCAAGAGCAATTATCCTTAACATACTGACGGCCTATCCCAATAGTTTGAGTTGTGTAACAGTACCAAAGATATAAAAGGATACCATATTTGCCATGGATTATCTGCCTTAATGGTGTTTAAAAATAAAGTAGAATGGAGAAAAATCAGTAGTCAGATCATAAGGCCTGAAAAAACATAAAGGATGAGGAGATCAGGATAAACGGTTGAGCCTTCACTGTATGCCAGCCATTATTGGGGGTTAAACAAAAAAAGTTTTATTCCTAAGCCAAATTTACTAGCAATGGAACATTTTCTATAAAATTATTTCTTCCTACAACTCTAGTGGCCACAGTCCCAGTTTTTCCTGGATAGTCTTTGTTTATTCCTATTGTCCCTCATAATAACAAAACCCTCTTTCACTCTGAAAAGTATCCCAGTTTGGACAATCATCATCTGGTCATTCTGCCCAACTCGACTGGTTTCTCCAAAACAATGAGTCATAATTTATTCCCAGAAAAGTTGTCGGCATGAGAAACTTTCAGTTTTGAGAGGAAACATCAGGAACTGATATAGAAGAGAGATGTTTCAAAGTACAAAATACCTGACTCCAGTTTGGTTATCAGTAATGTCCGAGCCACACTGGAAAACCAGGTCGTGGTAAGAAGGTCTTTGTGGAGGCAGTTGAAGTAAGGTCATCTGAGGAGGGCAACAGTTACTGCTCCAGGTTGGTGCTGAAGGTTGTTCTATAAACACTGTAATCCTCCCAGTTAACATATCAATTGTTTTGCTGCAAGAGCCAAACACCCTGAAAAAAGTTTGAGTGTTTCGGCTTAGGAAATACACCTGCATAAGAGCAGGTCTTGGCTGTAGCAGGAGTTCTTGGTTTAAGAGATCAACCAGAGGATCAAGTTCATAGAAAAGAGCCTCTCTCTGAAGCCTAAGATAGTCTGAAAAATCAATAGGTAATATAAGCCGTTGAGTTCTCATAAAATCTAAGATGAAACTAAATAAAACACCATCTCTGTCCACAAAAATCTGGCCACCATCCATCTTGAATTCTTGGTCGCTGCCATCTAACATTCGTGTTAGCCGCGAGGTAGGAAACTGCTTTATGGTAGAAAATCTTGTTGTGAATCTCTTCCCTCCCACATTCAGAGTGACGAGTTCCTGACTATTCATTCTCCCCTTGCCTCAGATTAGGCTACAAACCTCCCGCCACAAACTTAAGAACTTGAAAATCAAACTCTAACCATAAATGTTGCTAGCTATATATGATTAATACGTGGAGAGAAAATAACAAAAAACAAAGACCTAGATTTCCAGGTAACTACTGTAAAGCAAATAGTGTATCCATAGTTGTGTTTGCAAATTTGAGTTGCTTGGGAACTTACAGTACACAAAATAAAAAAGCAACAGATGAGACACTGTGGACAGTTTAAGAAAAAGTGACAATATTTAAGGATAGGTGTCAAATAGATCCCTTTCCTGTAATCCATAAAAAATTTTCCATGAAAAGCTACTGTAAATTTATATTTAAAAAAAAAATACTGGGAGAAAAGTACTCCTTCTCCCAGACTGTTTTTCCACTGAATCCTCATGGCAGTGGTTCAGATTTATAGAGAAACATTGTCATTTCTTATCACTATAGCAATTTCAATCACAAATGGTTATGGATGAGACAGCCACTACCTCAACTAGCAAGTTAACTTGACTCTTCTCATAACTAAAATGATTCTTCTGTACTTTAAATTTCATTGTCATCTTTTTTTCCTATTCCCCTTGTATTACCTCTTCTCAACCAAATTAAAGGACTGGGGTAAAGACACTCTGAGCTTTCAAAGAAATGTCTTGTTCCATGACAGATGTAAGTTATACTAGACAGAGTTCTAAGATAAGCTCACTCTTGTTTTCCTTGAATTCTTAACAAGGAAATTAAGTATTCTTAAAGATAGGGTATCTTTACCTCATGTGAACAGATTGGACAGCATTAATGTTTAATAATTACTTTGTACTTTATAGTAGCTGACAGATTGTCTTCTCTATTGTCAAGTCTTACTACTCTTAAATTCTTCAAGCAAGTGGTTTGCTTTGTTGTATGGTTGCCAGGATACTTTGGGACAACCCACACTTAGCTGTAAAAGGAGGCTTTCCCATTTCCTGCTTTTACCATGTTACTTTTTTTAACCTATGCTTTCACTTGTACAGCCACCTAACACTTCTGAAGTTTATCACCAAACTCCTTTAGTAATAAATTTATAATATTGATACCTCAGGAGAAAAGGGCAAGCTAAAATCTCCACCCTCTTGCTGAAATCGGTTTGGCTCAGTGGTAGAGCGTCCGTCTGTGGACTGCAAGGTCCCAGGTTCGATTCCAGTCAAGGGCATGTACATTGGTTGCGGGCACATCCCCAGTAGAGGGTGTGCAAGAGATAGCTGGTCGATGTTTCTCTCATCGACATTTCTAGCTCTCTATCTCTCTCCCTTCCTCTCTGTAAAAAATCAATAAAATATATTTTTAAAAATAATAAAAAATAAAATCTCCACCCTCTTAAAAATGTACACACATCACTAGAAAATGCCACATTTTATTTGCACTTTATATGATTTACACTTTAGCAAAAAAAGTCTACCCTTGGCAGAAAAATCTGGAAATCCAATCCACCTGTTTCTTTCCTTAAAAAAAAAAGTTGCTTTACAAGAGTAGTCTTTATTAGGTACAATCACTATTACATTACCTCATCAATATAGTATTACACCATGTGCTCTTTCACCTCTCCTTTTTACATAGCATAAACACAATATTGGGAAGTAATGATACTTATTTCAAAAGCACTCTAAAAAGGAAGGAGGGTTCAGGACTGTACAATTAAATTTCACTTTTATCTTTATGCTACCTAATTTGAAAGGCATATTTAAGTTATTACTTTTGAAGGAAAGTATCTGACTGGATCTTTGACCAAATCTGAACTACCACTTTGTTCTCTTACAAATGTCTAACAAAAAACAGAGTACTATGCACTTAAAACAGATTTTATAATAGTTTATATTTGCACATAAATTCTGCCACATTATTCAGCACCACCAAAGTAAAATTCTTGAATCTTTCACTGAAAATGAAAAACCCATCTGTCACCTGTTCCCAGTAAAAAACTGATTGTTCTATAAAATCAGGCGACTTAGTCAGATAGGAACTGAAATGTGAAAGATGGTCTTTCCAGGTTGAGAACTCATCAAATAAAGGCCATTCTAGGAAAACACTGAAGAAAATGAAAAGGCCAAGCAGAATGACTACTACAAACTTATAAAAGCTCCAGGGAATCTTGCCAATGAGTATGCCAGTGTCTTGAGGCAAAGAAAGTTTATCCACATCTGCTAGTTTTATGTCTTCCCACTGACTGGTATCAAAGTTCTTCATTAAAGGGCTTGTGGGCAAATTAGAGGGAGGTAAAGGAGTTTCCTTGATTACTTTTATTTTTTCTCTGAATTCCTGCATCTGTTGCAAAAATATGATTGGTTCTGACACATCTTTGAAGGCCTCAGCGATGTTAAAGGCCATTCGTTGTTCCTGTAAGATGGTGTTGAGTTTGTTAATCTCTGGGTCATAGGCTTGCATAACTGCAAGTTTCATGGTCTCAAAGTCAGACAGGATTTCATTCTTCTTTTGATCTAATGTGTGTTGTAACTTCTCAAAAAACTCCTTCACTTTATCTGAATCTTTAGTCAGTAACTGTAGAGATTTCCTTTTGTTAGTTTCCAAGGTATCCAAACGAGAAAGAGCATCTCCCCGGCGCCAGGTCTGAAAGCTCTGGAAGAGGGACTCGAAGGCGCCCCTTTCCTGAGCGTAGGCATCTTCAATAGAGCAGAAGACATGTTTGGTGTGGTCCCCACGTGTAGCACAGATCCCACAAATCAGCTGCATGTCAGTCAGGCAGAAAATGTTGAGAGGCTGCCCCAAGTGTCCTTTGCACACTGGCATTTTTGGAGAGATCTTGATCTTGTTATACTTCTCCACAATACCCTTCAGGGAGTAATTAACCTGCAGGCTACTGACTCCGGAGGCTGAAGTTTCCTTGCGGCATGTGGGGCACTTGAATGGAGATGACCTCCACAATGAGTTCCGCCCAGTCCCCTCTAAGATCCCTTCTAAGCATTTTTTGCAGAAGTTGTGAGAGCAAGGCAAAACTCGAGGATCATCAAACAGACTGCAGCAGATTGGGCACGTAAGATCTTCTTCAAGCAGCTCCATCACATCCTACCATAGAGAAATAAACATTTTTTTATTCCAGTAATCCCCTCCACTTGCACTATGTAATAATTAGAAGAAACTATATTCATATATATTAAAAATAACCTTTCACTGAAATAGCAGGGCAAAGGAAATAAGAAATCTGGGAAGGGAATGCACACCAAAGCAGATTTAATCTGCTGGGACGAGAACACACTCCTTATTAGAAGGGCTCCCTGGACACAAGGCCTTTGTGTGGGCTTTCCAACAAGGCTTTGGCTGGGATAGGGTTAGGACTAGGACAACTGCAAGTTGAGCCAGCAGCACCCAAGTGATTGTTTTAAAACAGAGCTGACCACTGCTGTCAGAAACAAAGCTACTCAGTGTCTGAATAGAATGAGTTCTTTAGTCTGGGCCCACAATTATAAAAGGTGCTATTTAAAAGAAAGCAGCACAGAAATATAAAGCCAAGCATGTATTCTCCTACAGACTTATTTTTAAACAACATTTTTGCCCCGCCAGTGTGGCTCAGTGGTTGAGCATCGACCTATGAACCAGGAGGTCAAGGTTTGATTTCTGGTCAGGACACATGCCCAGGCTGTGGGCTCGATCCCCAGGAGGGGGTTGTACTGGAGGCAGCCAATCAATGATTATCTCATCGTTGATGTTTTTACCTCTCCCCCTCCCTTCCTCTCTAAAAAATGGCATATTTCCTATTTCAAAGACAAAATTACAATTATTAAAATGATAGGTAAAGACATAAAATGAGAGTTGCAATTCATTCTTCCTTAGAGAATTAAATGCATTTTTAAAATAGCAGAGCAGTAATCAAAGCCATCTTTTACTATCTAGAGCACCAGTTTTCAAAATGTGGTGGACAGAAACCTGGGTATCACTAAGATTCTTTCAGGGCATCGTTAGGTCAATACTATTTTCATAATAATACTGAGATGTTACTTGCTTTTTGGCACCGTGTTAACCACTGTACTGTAAAAGCAATGGTGAGGCTGCTGGAAACTTAGCAGGAATCAAGGCAATATATAGTACCGAACTGTACATTGAGTCTGTCTTCCTCTCACCACCACATCAAAATGGGGGTATAGCCAGTTTCATTTAAGAATGTTCTTGATGAAGCAATAACAAGTATTCATTTTATTTAATCTTGATCCTTGTATGATAAAATAGGAAGTAAACACACAGCATTTCTGCCACATACCAGCAGATAATCGCCTGGAGGAAAACAGCTCATGTGACTGAGTTGCAAGCTGAAATGAACCAACTGTTTTTGTCATGAAACACCATTGTTATTTGAAAGAACAAGTAATAAAACTATAGCCATTTCAATTTAGTTATCTGGCAGATATCTTCTTGAAAATGAATAAAATGAGCTTATCACTTCAAGGGAAAAAACAGTATTTCTTCCCAATGATAAAAGTTTAGTTTTTTGGTGAAAACTAAACCTTTGGAAAACATTGTCCTTTAAAAGCTTGGTAACTTCCCATTAATTAAAGACGTTTAGTGAGAAAAATGGTGATAATAACTATGGGAGTTTTTTTAGTGGGAAGATTACTATATGATAAAATATGTTAAGATTTGCACAATACAGTGAACAAGTTCAATCACCAATGCATGTTATAAATTACACATGGGTAAAAAAAACAAATATGTTAAAAAATATATGATTTCAGATTCCATACTGCAACTTAACCTTTAAGAAACTACTGTTTGTTGATTTATGGTACAGTACCAAATATCCCCAATTATCAGAAAAGGCTATTAAAATATTCTTCCCCTCACCATCTACATATGCAAGGTCAGATTTTATTTTCTTTGTTTATTTCAGGAAAAAAACAAAACAAAAAAAAACTTACTACAGCAGAGGCAGATAAAAGACTCCAGATGTTTTCTATTAAACAAGTGGTTCAATGGTTAAAGCATAGGCCTGCACACCCGAGGGTCAAGGTTCGATTCCCAGACAAAGGCACATATACTGGGTTGCAGGTTCCAGGTTCAAACCCTCCTTCCTGCTTGGAGCCTGTGGGAGGCAACCAATTGATGTGTCTCTTACATTATTGTTTCTCTCTCTCCCTTCTCTCCCTTCTTCCTCTTCCCCTTCCCCTTCCATCCACTTTCTAAAAATCAATAGAAAAAATATCCTTACTCTGGTAAGGAATAAAAAAATAATAAACAGTAATTCATAAAAGAGACCTTCTTCTCCCAAATGCCACTCTTCTCACAAATGTCTCGAAAAAGTTGTTTTTCACAAATCATTTGTTAACATGTAATAGATTTATCTTGTTATTTGAATTTTGTATCTTAAATTTTTTCATTTATAGTACAATAAATATCTTCTGTACTGTATATATGTAAACAAAAGCTCAATGCAAAGCTTATTTTTATATGAATGTTTTAAAACTTCTATCCTAAAATTTTTAAATAGAGCTATAAATGTCCTCTTTCAGTTATAGTTAGGGATACACACACACACACACACACACACACACACACACACACACAGTGTTACCACCAAAGTAATAAAAAACAGGGTCTAACATTCAGAAGGCCATCTTATAATAAAAATATAAGTAAATAATTTTTAACAGTAATTTTAAGAGTCACAATTAGAGTTACAATCCAGAAGATAAATAGTATTTAAAAGATAAGCTGAGCTTGCAGGGCTACGGTAATCAGTTTATGGTTTTATGTTAAGTTATGAAAGACATACTAATATACTAGTATGTAGAACTAAAGCAAAGATTATTCTGTCAAATTTAGTGTCTTATGGCAAATGTGTGATGAGCTGATTTTTCGGAAACTCTTGTGAGACAAATCATACCACCTTTGAAAAGCATTGGGAAGAGAATAGCCATGAAGACTGTTGTGCTAGCTATAAAACACTGACTCTAGTCAGGAGGGAAAACTTGAATATCCTCCGATCCTAGTCCTGGTTCCTCACTTTATCACTTCTATTATCTTTCACCTATGAATTCTATGCTAAGGCTAGATTTTGGAGTAGGCAGTAAAAATAGGAAATTAGCAGGTTTTACTTATCCTTGCAAGGTTAATATTTCCAGTGGATCCTACCAAGCATATTAAATAATAAGGAAGGAAGGAAGGAAGGAAGGAAGGAAGGAAGGAAGGAAGGAAGGAAGGAAGGAAGGAAGGAAGGAAGGAAGGAAGGAAGGAAGGAAGGAAAAGGATGCATGGTTGGGATGAGGAGGAGAAAAAAAGCAATCATGGCAAAGAGAAACTTTGAAGAAAACGGAGGATAATGCAATAGGAGCCAAAAAAAATTTTAAGGCAATTAAGTATGATGAAAGTAAAAAAGGAAAATGACACACAGAGGAAAATTTAGAAATAACAAACAGTCATCTCAAAGCCATAATCAACTTACAACTCTTAAAATGAACCAGAGTTTGAAAAAAAAATTACTCTTTGCAAAGTCCCTTTTTTATAAATCGCATCAAAATTATGATAGACCCTATTATTCCATTTTAAATAATACAGCATGCAAATTTTAGTTTATAATTTAAAGATTCTTATTTTTGTTCACTTTAAATACTTTTACTTTCTCATCACTTAGTTTTATACTCAAAATTTTCTCTATGACAAAACTATGTGACCACTTCCATAGCTGACTTTTAGAGGAAACTGAGACATAATATTCTAATCCAAGAAACCATGGCAAGTTTACTGCCAGGAAAGTTTTAAATAAAATCCTGTCCGGTGTGGTTATTGGTTGGTGCGTGGTGCCATACATCAAAGGGTATGTGAGGGAGGCAGCCAATGGATGCTTCTCTCCCTCTCCCTCTCCCAACTTCCCTTCCGCCCTTCCTCTCTGAGTAAAAACTAAGTTTTAAATGAAAATGCACAGTGTGATTTTAGTCCCACTACCTGAAGAGTATGCTTTACAGTAAAGGAATTTATAGAATTTTCTTAAATTTAGAATTTTCTAACACATAAAATCTGAAGAAATCAATAAAGCTTACCCCTTTGAAAACACTAAAGTACATAGCTCCTCTTTTGGGGGCTAATTTTCCTAATAGAGAAGATAAGCTCTACTAACATCAAGAAAGTATGTAAACAAAATTATTGTTCAGTCATAAATTTTGACTTAACCAATGTCAAATTAAGTGTATAAAGGCAACCAAGTTTCCCAAGACTCATTTCTTTTTTTTACTATGTTTCTGGATATCAAAAGGTCTCAACTTTGAAGCAACAAAATCTGTTCTCCTAACAATTAAATATTTACCAAGTTTTGTTATTTTTTTAAATCCTCACCCAAGGACATGCTTATTGACTTTTAGAAAGAGGAAGGGAGAGAGGAAGAGAGGGAGGGAGAAACATTAATCCCATAGCCAAATGCACCCCAACCAAAATATGTGCCTTGACTGGGAATTGAACCTGCAATCTTTTAGTGTACAGGACCAATCAACTGAGCCACACTGATCAGGGCAAAAATTTCCCAAGTTTTTTAGCAACAACAAAAGTAAATGAATATATACCTTGTTGTCTACTACCTCTTTGTCTTTCAACTATGTTTTTCTGATATATTTATAGTTTAAATATCGATATACTTTTTCATTTATGTAAGTAAAATTCACTCTTTTACAAATACATAGTTGTATAACAGAACCACAGATTTAGTTTTAAGTAAATTTTCAAGGTATCTCCACTAAAGGAAAACTACATTAACAATTCTACCAGAAATGGTTATATAGATATAGCTTCAACAGTCTCTATTAAATATAAAACAAAATATTAAAAATGGAAAAGCTAATACAAAGGAATGGAGCCATAAAATAGATATTAAAGCTAATCTGTGTGTGTTAAGACTTCTCCCTCTTACAAGTCCTTTGTTTTTAAAAATCAACCCAAAATCATTATAATGCAAAAGGTGTTCATTTATTCATTAAGCAAAAGTTAATTTTAATAAAAACCTATTTATTAAAAGAAACATTCCTATAAAACTTTCAAATTTCATTGGTTGATAGCAATATAAAGTTGTTCAAATATTACCCATGATTTCTTCCTAAATCCCATTAAGAACAAAAAGAAAAACCAATATATTATACTTCATATCTTACATATTTAAACCAAATTTCCACTCTCCCTCATACCTTTTTTTAAATATATTTTATTGATTTTCTTACAGAAAGGAAGAACGTTTGAAACATTGATGAGAGAGGAACATCGACCAGCTGCCTCCTGCAGGACCAAAGTACATGCCCTTGACCGGAATTGAACCTGGGACTCTTGAGTCTGCAGGCCGACACTCTATCCACTGATCCAAACCAGTTAGGGCTTTCCACTCCCTTTTGAGGCATCTTTGAACTCAGGAATTTCAAAGCAGTATCCAAATACCTAACAAGTAACTAGATAACAAATACTGAAATTGAGTTCACAGACAAAGCTAAATATGAGAAGCTCTACTACACTGAGATACCAATCTTCTCTTGGAACAATGCTTAGAATAAAAGGGATCACTTTTTTTTTTTAAATCACTTCCTCTAAGCACACTAATTAAGCTCATTTTCAAGTAGTATATTCTATTTTATATGAGAACCATTAATAATGCTTTCTTGAATCTTAATAAAGATCCAATAAGTAATTAAGGATATTTTTTCTGAATATTTGAAAATTTTCACAATTAAAAAGTTGGCAGAGCCCTGGCTGGTGTGGCACAGTTGGTTGGAGTGTTGTCCTATTGCACCAAAAGGTGGCCTGTTCAATACCCAGTCAGGGCACAAAACCAGATTGCAGGTTTGATCCCTGGTGGGGGAGCAGGCAGAAGGCAACCAATCAATGTTTCTCCCTTTCTCTAAAAAATCCACAAAGTAGCCTGGCCAGTATGGTTCGGTGGCTAAATGTGGACCTATGAACCAGGTCTCAGTTCGATTCCCAGTCAGGGAACATGCCCGGGGTTGCAGGCTTGATCCCCAATAGAGATCATGCAGGAGGCAGCTGATTGATGTTTCTCTCTCTCTACCTTTCTCTTCCTTTCTGAAATTGATGAAAATTTATTTAAAATAAATAAGTAAATAAGTATCAATAAAGTAAAATGAAAAGGAAAAAGTTGGCAAAAAAAAACAAAACTAAAGAGGACAGCCAATTATAAGAAAACCATACTGAGCTAAAAAAGCAAAACATCAGAAATATTAAATATGC